CTAACATGAAAGAATGAACGGACTGTCACTGAGCAGGGCAGGCAGGCTGAGCATGAGAAAACAAGACTATTTGGTCTAGCAAGTCTAAGTAAAGACAAACATGGAAGTTGAGAGTCAAGAATTAGATGTTCAACGTTGGGTTCCCTTGTCGAATCAAGGGACAATTAAAGGGTAATGAAATGTAATTAATTAACAAGGTAGAGAGGGTTCGTTGTTGGGTTAATAGCCCGATCTAACTTGGTACTAAAGTAGTAATTTAGTCTACCAAAGGTACCTAAGGTAATGTTGAGACGAGACGACACGACATAATTAAAATAAGTTGGGCTGCAATTACGACCACAGCAATATCAATCAATAACGGGCAATTTGTTATATAGTTTAGCATAAATCGCAAGGGGCCAGGCATGAATTGTGACCCTCCATACCTAGTTACCGTCGGATGAGGGCGAGTCAGTGTGTAACTGAACTGTAACTAAGCTGAGCTTTGATGTTTCTCTTTAGCCAAAAATAAATAATTACCCAAGTAGAAGAAAAAAGAACTTTTGGACTAAAACGAGGTACGACCTTTTGGTGGCAGGTTTGGGCGCGCGCTTGGATGTCATCCATGTTACAGTTTGTGGTGCTCTGAGTTGGTGATAGCCTGCTAAATTGACTTTATGGCTTTCAGGGGCCGCCTTGACATTCTGGAGACAGTCACAGCACAGATGTCACAGAAAAGACGATGATCGAGCGATGACGACGATGATCTCACGGGGGACGAATTCCGGCACGGCAGAGAGGAAAGTTTAAAAAGGCAAGACAAAGGTCAAAGCCAAGAAGAAGCATCAGAAGAAGCGATGTAATAGCTGAAAGAAACTTAACTATTGATTGTCGTCATCATCAGGGGAAAAAGAGTTGATGCATGGCGGTTGAGTTTTGGGGTCTATCGATCGATGGGGCGTTTGAATGATCGCCCGTTTCATAGCCGCACAGTCAGACCAGAGACGATGAAAGTGTTTGTGGCCACTGAGTCTGAGTCTGAGTCTCTGGAGAGGAGAGGAGAGAATACGGGGGTGACACGAAAACGAATAATAATTTAATCATGGCGTTTGATCTGAGCTACTACTATATCTTGCCGTAGATAGATAGGGTGCGGTGCATGCGACTAGGAGTATTCGGCAGGCTGAAGCAGAGGCAGAGGCAGACATGGATCACGAGATGACACGCAGCGGAGATGGTTCAGATGAAATAGTGGGCTAACCTGAGGCTCATCAACATGCCACAGCTGCCATATCTACGGGTATAACCCTTAATTAGGGAACTCTCTATCTTGTGCTCGGTGACACGAGTATGTACTGTAAAGCAGAACCAGGACCAGAACCAGCCGAGGCTCAGCATTCCTCATCCAGTCACGAGCTTGTTTCACAACACAAATCTTGTCTCGGTACAGAACAGTATGCAATTACCATAGTCTGGGTATAGACACGAGTTTGTCGCAACAAGCAGTCAAAAGAAGCAAAATCAAGAGAGAAGAGATGCGACGCCAGCATCCATCATGATATGACTTATTGATCGACAGTTGGCGAATCATGTGTGGATCATTAGGCATGACCATCTTGGGGCCTTGCTTGCGACAAACAATCATCCTAAATATGGACTGGAGTAACAGATCACATTTCATCGAAAAGTGAGACAAGAAAAGAGAAGAGAAAACAATCAGGGTCTGTGAATACGTAGCCAAAAAAGAAGCAAATATGAAAGAAAGAAAAGAGAGAACAAAGCCAACTGCCATGAATCACAAACAGACAAAACAGAGCAAACAAAACAAGACCCAATACAGTAACCTCTTGTACATATGCATGCATGTCTCTCTCTATGCATGTACGTAGCCTTTTGCAGTTCAGTTCATACTAATTACGGTACCTTGCATAGAGTGGATGCATGAGGCGTCATTGAGAAAAGAGACAAATGATCAGTCTAATGGGCGATCATACATACAAACCCGTTTTGAGAAAGAGAAAAGAAGAGAAGGAGTCAAGAAAGACATTGATTGAGTCAGCCAATAATTGACTAACACAAGGAAAAAGAAAGCACAGAGGGAAAAAAAAAGATGGAACAGGAAAAGCAAAATCGTTTAAAGAGCGACAGACAATCAGAAGCAAAATGCGCCATAATACTACTGGTCGCCTTTGTTCCTTCCTTCTTTCTTTTTCACATTCTACCGACCGGAAGAGCTAATTACTCACGCTTAAACCTTGTAAGAATGAAATAATAATTGTTAAGGGAATTAGAATATCGGCTAATGCAAGATGACATTGACAGCTTCCTGCTTGGGTGCGGCGACGGGACGGGGAACGGGGAAGAGGAAAACGGAGACTGGGGTGCAGCTGCAGCTGCAGGAACGAACGAACAAACGGGCATGGCTTCCGATTTCCAGTTCTAGTTCTTTTCCTTCCATCCCAAGTCTAACGACGGGCATGGGTCCAACATGGAAGGCAAGGCAAATCCATGGAGATGGAAAGCAGACCTGGGTAAGGTGAGAGGAAGTCTGCAAGAAGTACCGGTACGTACCTCAGGTACAAGTCAGTACTTGCATCACAGCCTTGACCACATTGAGAATCGTGCGACGCCGGGCTAATGCAGCCTGAACTCCCGGGACCGAAGCGTTGGGAATCGGGGGACGAGGGGCCGCGGTGGAGAAGAACTTCAGGCAGGAGCAGAGGACGGAAGGAAGGAACCTGTCCCAGTCTCCAGTGCAGGAGGGGGGTGGGAGATTGACAGTGCAGGAGGAACGGACACAAAAGATACGAACAGAAGGAGAAGGAAAGAAGAAAAAGGGAAGGAAGGAATTAATCAAAGAGGCGAGACGGGAATCTTGCATGGACAGGGTCAAGGACATGGATATAAGAGTAGTTGCAGGGGTTATAGGGCGTGTGTCTAGCATCGGCGGTACCTGACAGATATGACAGCACAGGCCAGGATTTGACATTGACAGGACATGGTCATGATGATGATGGTTACGGTGTCAATCAAGTGGATAAACGTCAAAGCAAATCTTGTCTTGTCTTGTCTAGGTTTGTTTCCTGTGTCATTGCCAGTGCTACTCTGCAGTACGGATACAGCACATACAGCTACCGTAACGAGGCTGCATCATTCAAGGTCCAGGGCCACGGGAAGAACGAAAGAGGACAAAAAAGCAAATTGAAAAACAAAAAAAAAAAGAGAGACAATGACAAGGTTCACTAATACGACAGACAGTACAATACAATACTGACTTGCGAAAAACTACAGGTATCAAACACCAATGCACTATGCTAATTATTCCGCGAAACCATATTATGACAAGTTTCAAGATGCATGTTCCTTTCAATAAAAGAACACGTATCAATACAAACTTCTTATGATGCAAGTCACTAACCCTCAATACTACCTACCGTACTCTACCTCGTGTATATCAAAGGTACGATATACCTCTATCTTAGGCTATAACCCATTACGTATCATCCTAGGCGGAACAACGACCCGAAATGCCTTGAAACCAACAGCGCGACCGTTTTGAGACGAGGCTGAAGAGGAAAGGAAAAAAAAAGATCCTCATTTTTTTTCCCTCTCCTTCCCAATACCGTACCCAACGGCTCGGTAACATGCATGGGAAAGGGTTAAGGCTTGCAACGTCGCAGCGCTAAACAAAACAACACCAACGGCCGGGACATGATAATATCTCCATCCGGGGAGTCGTTCCTAGTCCAGTGGGACGAAAGAAAAAAGAACAACACATCGAAGCAGGCAAAGCACAGGCCGGTATATGCACATGGGACTTTGAGAAAAATCTTCTTTTCTTCTATGGATCCAGAACCGAGGCAACGGCTACGGTATTCCCAGGAGGCTGGCGTGGCTGGTGGGAACGGGACTTGAGCAGCAGATCTTCAACTTCATCTCGGCAATGAGACCCTTTTCCTGAAGTCCTGTTAAGCGAGAAGAAAAACTCTAAACCGTCTTGTAACTCGGCGGTTCTTTCAGCCTGTCTGTGCTTTACTTGACAGCCTCTCCAGTGTGAGTCTGCTCGCCTAGGTTCGAGTTCCGGTTCCAGTTCAAAGGGTCAACTACAAGGTCAAGTCTGCCGGGAGAACCGGAAGCTGTCAATGCTTGGTGTGTCCCAGCCACCTGGGACTTGACTTGTAACTTTTCTACGACAAGACGATCTGTACTATACCGAACAGTCGGAGACCGGGGCTATATGATAATCTCTCTTATACCGTACGGGAGCTGGGGATGGGATTCCGCGAGGGTCCATCTCATCGGCGACTACGCGAGAATGAGAATGATTGATTGTTGGGAACATGTTTGCCTTTGTGTTTGAGCCTCAGGGGGGCAATCAAACAGACTTTGAGACCAAGACGAGGCAAGTATTCGCGGAGTGTTCTCGTAACTAGACCCGAGTGGGATGGCTGAGATCTCGATCGCTTGACAACTGTCATGATATGATATGCCCAGAGTACTGTGTTAGTGTTTGGACCTGCAGTCGGTTTGACTTTCGGTGTAAATGTTGCTGAATTGCTACTGTTAACATGGCTCAAGGGAACTATTCGTGAAGCCAAGTTGCCAAGGAGAATTCATGTGTAACTCTACTCGATTCTATCATCCAGGCTTGATGACTTATGCGCACACGTTACTGAGTATCATGCTTTACCAAACGCGATGGTCATATGGACTTTGCATACATTATGCTCACTGAAGACTGACACACGAGAAACAATGTAGAAAAGCAGCTGACTAACAGAAGAGTTGGCCTCGAAGGTTTAGAGTCTCAGAAAAAAGCAGCCCAAATGTTGGTCTAGATAGGGCAACTAAATTATTTCATCTCTTGGGCGTTCAGTGGCCAGCTCTTCTGACACCCTGTCAAGAAGTTCCTTATCACACATGGAATTTTGAACGAGTGCAAAGGTGAATGACCCTAGTTTTATTCCGCTATCTAAGTTCTATGAATGCATATTTCTCTACGCCGTCTATGCCTCACTGACCTATGCCTTGGTGCAAACCAACTCAGGATAAACATCCCTATCAACCGTTAGCATTAGACCTTTGCATCTCAAAGTAAGTCAACTTACGTTCTCCTCTGAAGAGGCATCTCCTCTCGGATCTGTTCCAAGTTCTTGAGATCAATATCCACAAACCCAATATCTCCCACAGCACCTTCCTCAGGCTCTCCGCCCTCCTTATCCTTAACACCCTTGAGCTTTAGCACAACTCGTCCCCAGGGATCAACAACGATGCTCTCTCCCCAGCTCGCCCTCTTCTCGTTGTGCTGTCCGACCTGTGCTGATGCGATGATGTAGCTCTGTGTCTCAACGGCTCGTGCCGTGAGAAGAGTCTCCCAATGCACTGGTCCCGTTTTAAGAGTGAAAGCACTGGGGTATGTTAGGATCTGAGCTGGGCGGTTCTTCCACGCGCTGCGAGGACCAGGTTGAGAAAGTGCCAGGCCTGCCTCTGGAAAACGCAGGTCGAAGCAGATTTGACTTCCGATGCGACCTACAGGCGAGTCGAAAGGGGCTGTGAGAGTTGCGCCAGGCTGAACTGTATCACTCTCCTTCATCTTGCCATAGTCGAATGCATGAAGCTTATCATACGTTGCTGTGTCGTCAACTTCACCACTCTCGTTGATATAGATAGTGCGGTTGAGAATTCTCTTTGACTGTTCCTGCCCAATATCCGTCTCATCGCGATGATGGACGCCCACATGAACAGCAACACGATGCTCCCGAGCTGCTTCCCGAAGGCCGTTCACGAAAGTTGAGCTCGATTGCGGCTCTGCAAGCTCTAGGGACTCCTTCCCGTCACTCGCGATATAATCGGCCGCCTCAGGAAGAAACAGCACCTAAAGAGAACGAGTAAGTATACTGTGTGAACAAGAACTGAGACCTCTCAAAGAGAAGTACCACCATCTTGGGAATACAATGAGACAAATGATTCCCAAAGACCAGACCAGAGCCTCCAAGACCTCTTTACAAATAGGCCCTGGCTGTCTCACGGTTAACTTCAACCGATAGACGCCCTTAGATCCAGATCATGCGCTTCGTCTCTTTTTCTGACATCTGACGAGTCCTCTTTTGGCCATCTCGATCGAGGGATGTAGAGATTCCTCCAAGCCAGACACTGCAGACGACCAGTCATAAAGTCAACAGGACTCACCTTTGCTTGTCCCCGCGCTGCACTCGCCACCAGTTTGACACATTGTTCCAGATTACCCTTGACCGATGCCGTTGAGCAGATCTGACCGATTGCCTAGAGCCGCAAATGTCTTAGTTGATAGTTTGTCTATCATACCAGCCTGAAGCAAGGGGGAACTGGTACGCATTCACACCCTCCCCTCCAGGATGTAGGAAAGGAAACAAACCGCAATTGCCATGATGTATCGCCAAGAGTATAAATTGTCTTGAACAGGTTTGGGCGTTAGATCTGTATGCTCAGTTAGTTTATGACTCTCCCTCGAAGTGACCAAAAGAATTTAACTTACAGGAAGGGGTATATTGTCTTGAACCCAACAACTTTAGGTATTAACTAAGATAGCGCAGATCTTTGGCCCTCGTCTTTGTCTCTGGTTCTTTTTGTTTCAGGTAGATCCGGACCCTTCCGAGTAATCAATTAAATCAAGTTGAATACTCCAACAAAAGGATTAACACGATCTTCACCAGGTATTTAAACAGTTGTTGATAAGGGAGGGGGAACCTGCAGGTGAGGGAGCCCCACTGTTTCTTGTAAGAGGGAAGGAAGCATTTGTCATTGACTTTCTCTTTCTTCAACAAACCAAGTTCCAACCTCTCACTAAAGTAAGGTAGGTAACATGCAAACATCCACAATCAAGGCTAAAAGAGGCTTCTCCCTTGACTCGAGATAAGGAATGTCCTCGTCACCAACCAAGACTAAATCTACGATCTTCACAGGTTAAGCTGAAGCTAAACTTCAAGTTCCAAAGTTCAAAGGGTTCTTGTTTGAATTCTTCTCATCAATGATTTCCCCTAAGAGTTTCTGTCTCTCCTACCCTTCCCTTCCCTTTCCCCTAATCCAAATGTACAAGCTGCCACCCCTTTCGCTGGTCAGAAGCTGTTGTTCTAGCTTAGCTTACAGCTTCAAACGAGTTGAGTAAAGAAAAATAATGGCATCATGCCAGGGACAAACGCCCCGAAGAAAAACGTGGTGCGCTCATCTGCTCCACCAGTGATCACTATGGTCGAAAAGTCCTTCCTTCATGCTTTCAGTTTCATCGTCTTGTTTCCTGCGGTGCAGCGCATGCCCAAGTACTGCCTTTCTCCTAATTCATGCCTTTAGTTGGGTAAACATAAAACGCCGTGCTAAGTAATATCACAAAAGATGCACGCCGCGCAGGGTATCTTCCTCTAGCTATTCCCCTAGCCCTGGCTAAGTGTCACCAACCCACCATCCCCTGTTTCTGCCTGCTCTTCTCTTCTCGTCTTCCATTACCTCACCATATTTTCGTAGTTGTTTGTAGCAATCATTACTTTGGGTTTGACGCGTCCAAGTATAGGTACGCTCTTTGAAGTGCCTTGCCTTCTCGGCCGTCCCTCTCCAGTACTGCAGCCCAATCGCGCAGTTGAATGTTTCGCCCCTTTTCTTTGTCCTCTCTCCACGTGCCGAGTCGGTTGCGTCCTTCGGTAGTCATCGCCATGTTCGCCGGCGCCGGCGCCGCTCCTGCTCCTCCGGGTCCTTTTCCGAGTCCCGGAGCAGTCCTAGTCGGCGTGCTGGCTCCACTGCCTCCGCGTCCGACATTCATCCAATCGTACGTCTTGCCTGTCTTTTTCTTGCCAAACAGGCCACCTTTACCTCCTAGGCCAGCAAAGATGCTACTGGTCGTGTTCTGGCTCTGATGGTTGTCAATCTCAGCCGCCTTCATTTGCTGGTTCTTCTTGATCTCCTTCTTTGTCATGCTCTTGGGGGCTTCCGGAGCTGCGGTGCCGGGAGTACCAGGTGCTACGCTACCCGCACGCGATGTCGTGCTTCCCGAGTCTGGTATTCCGTCCTTGCGCTTTTGACGTTTGCGAAGGCGTGCTTCTTCCCAGTCGCGCTCCTGTCTCGCTAGGTCTCGCATCGTAGTTGTCATATAAGACGACACTTTAGGTAGCTTGACAGGAGGTGTACCATTTGCCAACCCAGCTGCATCGCTAGAGCCTGTAGATTGTGAGCATAAACTGAAAGTATATCTGTGGCTCTACTTACGCTTTAATGGATTCGTGCTATCCCCATCCGCACTTTCCACAGGAGCTTCATCGACACCGTTTATAGTATCTGCCGGCTTTTCAACAGGCTCCAGAGGCTCTGCATTCATGGGCGCAGCTGCTGGTAACCACTCCTCCGGCACATCGCCGTGAGACGTCTTTTGTCGGTTCGCTGCCACCACGTTGGCATCTTCTACCAATTCCCGAAGTCGCTGCTTCGTAGCAATTGACAACAATGCTAACTGATCTACCAGATAAGCATCGTGAGGAATATATGAGCCTGTCGTATGAACCATGGTCGAATCCGGGCCTGGAGCCACTTTGACAGTCACTTTTGGCGCCGAGAACTGTTCCGGAAGTCTCATCTTCCCCATCGTCTGGTTGTTGTTCTTAAGGTCCAGATTTAGCCCCAGGTGATGTTCCCGTGCGATCTTATCCGCACGGCGATGCAGCATAGCGACCAGCAAAAATGGTTCATTTATCTCCTGTGTTCGTTGAAGTGCAAGTCTCATCGATGACTCTGTCCAAGCTCTCTCCGCTTGCTGCGCAGCGAACTGTTCCTGCTGTTGATCTTGAACCGATTGGGCAGGTTGGTTTGCTGGTCCCGCACCGTAGAATGTTGATTTCGGCCCAGGCGGCTGGTGTGCGAATCCTGTCCGTGCTTCATCGAACCCGGTTGCGTACAGATCATTCATGTATTGCTCCTCAGCTCGAAGATCAATACCAGTACCAGCAAGCGAATCTGTCACATCGTATTCGTAGTCCTTGGTCGGTCGCTCAGCTGGCCTCTGTGGGGGCCCCATAACACTTGGGCCAGGAGTTGGAACCATCAATTGACCAGGGGCAGGAACAGGTACAGGTGTCATCGTTGCGTTGGTGTACTGAGGCACAGGTGTGCCGGGTTGTTGAGGCTGTTGAATCGGGGGTGTCGAGTTCGGCCGCACGTCTGGAAGATTAAGACCAGGCGTCGTATGCCCATTGGTATAAGGTGTAGCATATGGCTGAGGTAGAGCAGGACTCTGCGCAAAGGCAGGGGATCCTGTTGCGGCAGGCGGCGTCGCTGTGGCGCCCGGGCTCGCAGCGTATGGGGAGGTAGCATAAGGAGACTCGGGTTGCGAAGGAGGACCGTCCGTTCGAACTCGTTTCTGCGGTGGGAGGGCAAAGCTCGACTGCGACGCGGCCGGCGATGGGGAATGCTGCGGCGGAGAGAAGGCGCGAGGCGGCACCTGGACCTGCGTCTGGGTCTGAGGCTGCGCCTGCGGTTGTGGTTGAGCCATGATCAAGGTGGCTTTGCTGTTAATCGAAGGTCGATGCGGAAGACGAGACAATGTAAGTGGGTGAGTGTGTTAGCTCAGCAGGCAGATGAGCCTGTCTAATCGATCGCGACGCCTCCCATCCGACGCGCTGAAACTCGACGGGGCTCTCGGCAAAGCTGTGAAAACGTTCGGTAGACGAGCGTTTCGTGATGGGAAGGCGCTGACACTGCGCTTCGAGATGGAGTCGTTGGTAAACGTCGTTGGGCGAATATGGTAATTAGCTGGGGGTGGCTATGAAAGAGCGAGCTTCACCTGTAAAACGAAGGTCGCGTAGTTTTAACGTCACGTGCGCAGAGCCTCTTCTCTGAAATATGGGGAAAGAGCTTCTTATATCATTGAGCGACAAAAAGGCTCCTGCACTTCAGATTAGACCCACCTCTAAGCCCGCGCTTTTCGCCCACTAACGAGCTATCATCTCCACTAAAACTCAACACTCTTTATTGTCTTTATTGACACCTTCATCCTTCCCCAAAAGACCGGCTTTTATCCGCCCATTGTTCAAACGCGTCTGCCTTTGTGCCCGTACTGTCCGCCTATTCAATCAATCACCCATCCATTCACTCGTCTCCAATCCATTCTGCTGAGAGTGATCACTGTCGCAATCCGTGAATTGCAACATTTTCATCATCGGTGGTTTGGAGCCGCCCTACTAACTATCTATATAGAAATTCCCTTGTCGAATGTGAGCTGGACCAACGCTCGGCACCTCCTCAACAATGACATCCAAACGAAAGGCTTCCGCTATGAATGCGGCGGCTACTGAAGAGCCAGTAGACCCATCGGACGAGCTCATGTTTCTTTGTCTTGGAGGAGGAAACGAGGTCGGAAGGTCATGTCACATTATTCAGTACAAGGGAAAGACAGTCATGGTAAGCGGTCTATAAGTCAAGTCTATAACCAACTGGTCTAATACATGTTGCCAGCTTGACGCCGGTCAGCATCCTGCCTACGATGGACTCGCCGCGCTGCCTTTCTACGACGATTTCGACTTGAGCACTGTCGATGTACTCCTCATTAGCCAGTAAGCGACCCCTTCTCCCAAACTCGCGACGATATACATAGGCTGGACAGGGCGAGGGACGACATTTTGATGTTTCGTGATGTGTTGGAACGGACAGTACAGTGCAGAATAGCCCTGTACTGTCGCGGCCAGTATTGTACTTGCGTGATGTCGATATCCATGACTATGCTTCTTGTATGCCAGATCAATACAATACAGTCTTTGCCCATTTCCCTGTCTTACGCCCTTGCTATTCGTCCTTGTGATGCCGTCCTGTCCTGAAACCGCCAGTCGCCAACCTCATAGCTAGCGAGATGCCATCCGAGGATTACAGCTAATTAGCCATAGTTTCCATATCGACCATGCGGCGTCTCTGCCATACGTCCTTGCGAAGACTAACTTCAGGGGTCGCGTCTTTATGACACACCCTACCAAAGCTATCTACAAGTGGCTTATCCAGGACAGTGTTCGAGTCGGCAACACTTCGTCAAATCCAACTACACAACCTGTTTATACTGAACAAGACCATCTGAACACATTCCCTCAGATTGAGGCCATCGACTACTACACTACCCACACCATCTCCTCCATTAGAATCACTCCTTACCCAGCCGGTCATGTCCTCGGTGCCGCCATGTTCCTCATTGAGATTGCTGGTCTCAACATCTTCTTCACAGGTGACTACTCGCGGGAACAAGATCGACATCTTGTTTCAGCAGAAGTTCCTAAGGGAGTCAAGATCGATGTTCTTATCACCGAGTCTACGTACGGTATTGCCTCTCATGTACCTCGCTTGGAAAGAGAACAGGCCCTCATGAAGTCGATCACAAGTATTCTTAACAGAGGTGGCCGAGTCCTCATGCCAGTCTTTGCCCTGGGACGAGCTCAAGAACTGCTACTGATCCTTGACGAGTATTGGGGGAAGCATGCCGATTTCCAAAAGTACCCTATCTATTATGCCAGTAACCTCGCAAGGAAGTGTATGCTCATTTACCAAACATACGTTGGTGCCATGAACGATAACATCAAACGGCTATTCCGTGAGCGCATGGCAGAGGCTGAAGCATCTGGAGATGGCGCAGGCAAAGGCGGACCATGGGATTTCAAGTACATCCGTTCGCTCAAGAACCTGGACAGATTCGACGACGTAGGCGGCTGTGTCATGCTTGCGAGTCCTGGTATGCTTCAGAACGGCGTCAGTCGTGAACTACTAGAAAGGTGGGCGCCTAGTGAGAAGAATGGCGTTATTATTACCGGTTACAGTGTCGAAGGCACCATGGCCAAGCAGATTATGCAGGAGCCCGACCAGATCCAGGCTGTCATGTCTCGCAGTATGGCTGGTGCTCGTCGGCCTGGTGGTGATGGCGAGAAGGTCCTTATTCCTCGAAGATGCAGTGTCCAAGAGTACTCCTTCGCAGCCCACGTTGATGGTGTCGAAAACCGTGAATTCATCGAAGAGGTTCAAGCACCTGTTGTTGTACGTCATTTTAATCATTATTTTAACACAATTCAGCTAACCTGACTAGATTCTTGTTCACGGAGAGCAACACAACATGATGCGTCTCAAGTCCAAACTCCTCTCCCTCAACGCGAACAAAACCACAAAAGTCAAGGTCTTCTCTCCTCGCAACTGCGAGGAACTGCGCATTCCTTTCAAAGCGGACAAGACCGCCAAGGTCGTTGGAAAGCTTGCTTCTATTCAGCCTCCACAGAGCATGCACCCTGACCAAGCCGCTACTCCTCCCCTTGTTACTGGTGTGCTCGTGCAGAATGATTTCAAACTTTCCCTCATGGCACCTGAGGATCTTCGCGAGTATGCGGGTCTTAACACTACCACTCTGACCTGTAAGCAGCGCCTCACTCTCAGTGCTGCAGGTGTCGACCTTGTCAAGTGGGCCCTTGAGGGTACCTTTGGTAATATTGAGGAGCTTCCCGAGATGCGTCGTGGAAAGAACGGTCAGAATGGCCACGCTGATAAGATGATCACGGATGGCGAGGAAACGAAGCAAGAGGAAGCAGATGAAGAGGTTGCTAGCCTTGTTGCGGCTTACCTAGTCATGGGCTGTGTTTCGGTCCGATACCGAACAAATGGTGAAGTTGAGGTTGAATGGGAGGGTAACATGCTCAACGACGGCATTGCCGACTCCGTCATGGCAGTCCTCTTCTCCGTTGAAAGCTCTCCAGCCGCCGTCAAGCGTTCGTCTGCTAAGCACTCGCACTCGCACGATCTCCCTGACGTGAACCCTCACCATTCCGCATCCCCCGAGGAAAGACTCGAACGTCTCCTGTGGTTCCTTGAGGCTCAGTTCGGTCAAGACAACGTCGCCCCTGTCACAACTCCCAAGTTACCTCCCTTGGAAGAGGCAGACGACAAGATCAAGAAGGACGGCGAAGACGAGGATGCTATGAAAACTGAGGAGGATGGCGAGGATGCGCAACTCCAGGAGAGACAGCAAAAGGAGATTGAGCGTCTGCACAAGATTGGTATCCCGGTTCCTGGCGTGTCGATCAAGGTGGACAAGATGTCTGCTACAGTTTGGCTGGAGGATCTAGAGGTTGAGTCAAGTCACAAAGCTTTCGCCGATCGGGTGAGAGCTGTCGTGGAAAGGGCTGCGGAGGTGACAGCACCTCTTTGGGGTTAAGGCACTGAAGGCGAGCATTGTCTGCCAGGGGGATATGTACTATAAATTCTAATTTTGTGTCTACGAAATGTCAAGCAGCAAAACGATTGTCAAATAATATCTCTAAATCAAAAAGAAACATGGCAAAATACCAGTCTTTCTAATGCGCACTATGCTACTTAATGATACAATAAAAATACCAAAGTCTACTGTAACGGACACCACCATATAACCTAATCCTCCCAATTAACCCAAGTAATCCTTGAGCTCTTCCGACTCTTCCAGCAGTGTGTTGAACGAGAAAGGCACAAAAGGCCAACCCGCAAACTCGGCAAACTTGGAGAACGACTCGACCCAAGCCAGACGCAGTGAGTGCAACATGGCACTAGTACCTTCCATACACACAAGAATGGCAATAGCTGCACAAGGTTAGTATCAAGGGAAGATATGAGGGACAGATATAACTTACATAAGAAGAACCAGCCACCAAAGCCGATAACGATCGCGATGACACCAATGACACCTTGCATCTGCAGCATGGGACCGAGAGTCATGTTCCAGAGCACAATGCTCAGCTGCTGATGAGCAAGTGACAGAGCCCAAAGTCGAAGATAAGAAGCAGTGTGGGAAACACAGTTCAGGCAAAATTCTAGGTTTTTGTTAGCATATGAAAATAAATCACAGATTAATGAACTTACCAATAGTGTGAATGACCTGGTGAATCATGACTTCACTAAATTCAAATTCCTCATGCTCCTCATCAATATTTTGAGAGATCATAGCAACTCCCTCGCCATCTTCGTCGATGCTGTTACCATGGCCGTTGGGTTCGTCGTCATCACCGTCCAAAGCGCTAACTCGGGAAGTTTCACCTATACTACGGTATCCCTTGGCGCGTGCGCGGTTATTCTCCCAGCGGAGGTAGAAAGGCTTAAGGAAGAGGAGGATAGGAACTTGGACGACAGCCAGAAGCAAGAGGAAAACTTGCACATAATCTTGTCCCTTGTAGAGCTCCTCACCATCGGGGATAGTTCCAGGTTGGAGGAACATGTAGATCAGCATGTTCAACAGACCAGGGGGCTGGCGATCAGTACCTATCCAATCGACGGACCACTTGTAGATAATGCAGAGAACAAGGTAACCGAAGATAGACTGGAAGAAGATCATACCAGGGATGAAGTTGCCCCAAATATCAATAGGCTTCTTGAAGTGGCGAGCGTTGATGTAAGCGAAGCAAAGAGAGTAGGTCATGTGAGCCCAACCCAGAATGATACTCATCTTCATCTTCAAACTGTTGCTAAAGAGGAGGTCGTTCTCACTACCATGCCAGGCATAGTCCAGACCGAAGGGGTAGCGGTAACCATCGTCGTTCAAAGTAGCAACGATAGCAGTGTTATTGGTGTAACCCTCGGGCTTCTTGAATTCCCAGGCGCTGTCGAAAAGGGTCATGGACAGGGAGAAGACATCGTTGTAGATAAGACCAGTAAAGACAGAGAAAACAGCCATGACCAGAGCAATGTAACGACCATAGAAGATCATGGCGAAAAGCTCGAAGCTGACCTTCTTGAGCGACTTCTCCCAATAAATCATAGCAAGAGCGGCTGAAAGCATGATGAGGGCATGGCCGAGATCACCAAACATGACAGCGAACAAGAAAGGGAAGGTAACAAAAACGGGCATGGCCGGGTTGACCTCCTGGTAAGTAGCGGTACCATACGCGTTGACAATGGTCTGGAAACCCTCGGTAAACTTGTTGGTCTTCAGGTAAGTTGGCGGCGTCTTGCTGGTTTGGATCTTATTGATGATTGAGGGAACTGAGAGGCCAGCTCTGTTAGTCACGTCCTGGAGTGTTGTCCTGATCAGGGGAAGATCATTGGTAGGAACCCAGGCCTCGGCAATAAGAGTTCGTCGAGCACTATCATAGGAGAAGTTATTGAGTGTATTATAAACAGCCTTCTCCTTGGCGATAAGGACCATCCAGGCTGAGAGCGACTGGGAGATCTGGTTGAGCTCTGCCTGAAGAGTAGCTTGGGTGTTCTGGAGGACATTCTGGACATCCTCGAGGCGGTTGTTAACCTCATGAATCTGATCACGTCGGAGATCGCTGTTCTCGTCGACGTTGTAAACATCAGCACCCATCGACTCCGAGATTTTGCGGATCTTGTTGAGAATCTCCTTGCCGTGGGCGAAGATGACGAAAACGTTCTTGTTGATCGCCTCGTTGTTGGTGGGATCAATCAAGGGCTCGGGAATCTCAGACTGATTCATGTAAAGGTTACCACGCAGTGTTCGCCAGAGAATGCGCTCAAAGGAAGCGACTCTGTCTCTGGCAATGACTCCAGCTACAAAGCCAATGTTCATGCCGGAGAAGGAGCGCTCGGCGTCAGCACCGCTCTGGTTGTGCTCGATGTCGGACAGCAGAGGAGCATCGTCGTTATCAGTAGAAGCGCGAATCTCTTCAACATTACCGTGAGCGCGATCAAAGAAGCTGCCAGCCTCGCGGAGAACCCATCGCCACTCGGTCAAGTCGCCCTCGCGCTTCTTCAAAGTCTCGTAACTCTCGTTAAGGGCGGAAACACGCTGCTCCAACTTCTGGCTTCGCTCGGCAAGCTCGTCGATTTCGGAAGTCGATGGAGAGGCAAGTCTTTCGACGTCGAGGTCCAGCTTCCTGAGCGGGATTCCAATCTTGTCCATCTGACCGTAAAAGTATCCTGCGATGTGTTAGATTCCAGTGTTTTGGTGGATCCCGATGGATGACGTACGCAGCTGTCGCTCGACATTGTCGAGACGTCGAATCTCCTGGGTAAAAGTACGTTGAAAAGCGCTGACATCTTCGTTGAGCTGTGATGGAAAATCAATAGGTTAGCAAAAGTTGATGATGTAAACGTTGATGGACGGGTTGCCTACATCGCGGAACTGGCAGAGGCCAAGCTCTCCGAGCGCAGTAACAACTTCGCGGCCGATTTCATTGGAAACATAGAGCTGGACCATGCTCATGTCCGCAGAGCGGAACGGGGTGTCGGGTTTAGGAGCCATGATGCCGTCGAGCACCAAAGCTGTATAGTCGTTGATAGGAGCTTGTTCAAGAAGCAAGGCACGCTTCGGCGCGGTTACGTCGCAGGAGGCTGTCTTTGCCACGGGGCCTAGTTGATCCGAGCTTTGCACGTGATCTCTTTGATCGAGCCACCAAAGTCTCGACGCCACAATCAAGCTTTGCCACAGTTTAACGCAGGGACAGCGAGGTTTGTTCTTAGGTAGATTCTACGTCCCTACCTAGGTAGTTTATCTGATATCGATAATGACATGCTACGATAGATAGATGTGTATGCAAAAGCTTGCCTAGTGAGCGCATATTCTCGAAGAGTTAAATCCTGTTTCTTGACTTCTGATAGGCTGTGCCTAACTATTCAATATGTTGCCGCTATGTCTTGCGGAAAGTTTATACGAATATACATCCAGACATTGATTTATCGTCGCCACTCACATTATTCGCGTTCACTTGTCTTCAGATTACCAATTTCATGAAAGTCATTATTGATTATCTACACGTTTTTTCTCCCTCGTCATATGCATGCCTCAGAACGCTTTTCCATCAAAATGACTTTACTTTTGATCGCTAATTTTCAACCACCAAACGCCGGGATATCAATCAGGCCATAATGCAACCCAAATCTAACCATGAAATAATAAATCCAGAAACACCCGAAAATGATGTCAAGAGTAGAGAAATTCACCGTAGTGATATGTGTAAGCTCGGAGGTCGGCGATTTACAGCCTTCGGCCGAACATGAACGTGCCGTACATGCCTCCGACGTCGGCCTTCGCGACTGGGATCTTCCTCATGCCCCAGCTCTCAGCGCCCAGCTTCCACCACCGGGCGCCGCTATCGAGGTCTGTGTTCATGCGGACTAGCCAGTATCGGCTGCCGAACTCCTTAGGAGTCCACCCAGCACGCTCAAGGTTCTTCTTTGCCTTGGCCGCTCGTTCATACGCACGCTCTTCAAGCTCAATAACCTGCAGAGGAGCCGAGGCGGGGGTAAGAAGAGCGCTAGCGCTGCCAATGATAGTGTCCAAGTCGGAGATATCAATGTATCGTAGGCTATGAGGAATCCACTCCTGAGCCTGATACAGGAGCTGATGAATGTCACGGAGATCGAGGCCTCGGCCGATAGCAAGTTCCTCCAAATGCTGGACCAGAGGGGTGAGCAGAGGAAGCTGGGAGGGGTCCATTCTGCTTCCCTTGAGACTCAGGGATCGGATCGTAGGAGGCAACCGAGGAAGAATAGCATCAACGTCGGCCTTGCCCAGCAGGAGGTGGCTGCTGGCATTAGTAGCAAGGCTCAGAACAGTAATGGTCGATGTGATAGCAGGGTGAGTAGTGATGAACTTGACAACCACTTCAGAAGTGAGCTCGCGGCACTTGGCCAAGTTCAGATGAGTGAGTCTTGCCGTCTCAGGCAAGCTCTGGAGAGCCTTGTCAGTCACTCTGGTTCCAGCAAGATCGAGGTGAGTGGCTCGGTCGAGACGGGGCAGAATGGCTTCAAAGACGGAGCCTGGCAGGTTCAAGCACTTGTGGAACGAAACACGAGTAAGAGTCAAGGAGTCGGGCCACTGCGCCTGAAGAAGGCTGTTGAAAGAGTTCTTGAAGAAAGGTGAGGAGCAGCCGGCAAAGTCAACAGCTTGGAGTCGGGGCATATCGAAAAAGAGCTTCTTGATCACCTCAGGTCCAAGATCCTCATCGATGTACTCCTGTGCCAAGAACTCCTGCAGGTATGGGGTCAGCTCGAGACATTTGTAAAGGGTCTCGGAGGTCAAGTTTCGGGTTTGAGCTCGCTCGCTCGCAGTAGAGAAAATGGTGGAGGGGTTGAAGTGGCTGAAGTCCAATCGCCGCACGATGGAGGCGAGAGCAGGGTACTCGGTAACGGTTGCAAGGAACTTTCGGAAGATTCGAGAGTGAGGAATCGTAATGTGACGGTAGAGGGTGTTGAGCGTCGCAGCATGGATAGATCGCGAAGTCAGCAGAAGAGCCATAAGGTCGGCATTTCGTGGTGTCAGTCCATTAGGAGGGATCTCGATGACGAGAAGGTCAATGATGGAACCTGTGATCGGCATGTTAGTGCACTGATACATCATATAACTGGGACTGGGGTTGCTTTGGCAGGTTTCAATTAAAAAACCCTTGATCGCAAGTGCACGTACCTAGAACTTCGCTGGGGAGTCGCTCGAGAGGAGAAGTTCCGGTCTCGAAGCCGTCAACGGAAGGTTTCTTGGTGACAGTGGGAGGTGCTGGAGAGCTCCATGTCATGGACAACTTGTGAAGGTCCTCGCAGCTGCGGCTGGCGGATTTGCCCTTGATGGGGATCTGCTTCCATCCACGAAAGTTATCCGCGGGAAACCAGAACCCATGAAGCCGACTGTGAGGCTGCGTCAGAGGAGCCTGAAAAGAAGGCGATGCAATCTCAGCGGAGGGTGAGGGTGATTCGTCGAATACCTCTTCCGTTCCCTGAGTGTAGGAGGAAACCTTGGAACGTGTGAAAGTCTGAGCTAGACCATCGTCGTTCTCTCGAACAGATGAGAAGGACGAGCGGGCGGTCTTGTCGCTGTTGCTGTTTGGAGACTCGGGGCGAGACATCTTGGCCTTGAGCAGAGCAGAAAGGTCAAAGTAGCCAGGTGCTGAAGGTGCTGAAGGCGAAGGCACCGCGGGGTGCGTGGGAGTAAGAGGGAGAGCCATTCAATTCAATTAAACAAAGATATGCAATGGCCGACCCCGAAACAGGACGGAACGGTAATGTTTAGGTAAGGTAGGTCTTGGTCTTGGCTGGAGAACTCAAATTGCCAACCCAACGGTTGGCAAAAGTCCAAGTTCTAATGAAAAAGAGAATAAAAGTATTCACGGAATCGCAGTGGCGTTGTATGAGCCACCGACCGGATCCGGGAGGTTTTGTTTGTATTGGATGTATTTGTTTAGTACTTCCACTTAGGCCGATAGAGGGCGGCGAGAAGCGATGACGACAGAGGTGAGTCTACTCTGCGAAGCCGGAGCGTGATCTGGATGTGTCAATGTTAATGTTAATGTGACAGAACCCTTGATAGGATCTTAGGTTCTAATTCTGTTTTCTTTTGATCGTGAAAAGGTCTGAATTCTAAAGAGAAGAAACGAGGGCAAAGGTCGGCGCATCAGGGCTCGGGGGCGTGGATAGTTATAAACGAAGGAAACAACGAACGACTCCACGAGGCGACTCTCTCGAGTTTAGTGTAAGTTGAGTTTTTGACTAGGGACGGGACCTCATGACGGGGACTGGAGGGTCCAAACACCACACCTTAACTGGACGCCCAGGAGTACAACAAGTCAAGTCATTGTAAGAGCCATGACCAAGACCAAGGCCAAGGCGAACCCCGAACGATGGGAATGGAAGGGAAGGAAACAAGAACAAGCTAGAGAGCGGCGCCACTGGGGCTGGCTCGCGTCTGCCTCCAGGGACGTTACGATGGATGCCAGGCCATAGACCATGCACGGGGCATTGGTTTTAGCTCAGGATCGCACAATATTGGGTAATGGAAATCGAGGACTGGATGGACTTCTCGGGTCCGGAGACGTCAGGTGAGCAAAAAGCGACACGACACCATGGAAAAGGGCTGGTCCCCTTGGTTCTGTTCTGGTTCCCAACCTGGACGACCAAAGGAAAATCAATCAGTCAGTCAGAGCAAAGTCATCTTTTCATCCTCATCCAGGGTTTCAATATCCAATGATGATTTATTAGCGAGTAATGAGAAGCCAGAGACCGCCTCCCTGTATCCAAACAGAGAAAAGAATTTCGCTACTGTATAACATTAACCGCTGCCTGCCATTGGGGAAAAGAAGGTGTGTGGCACTCGATTGGATGAAACAAGTCGGGATTGGGTAATGAGAACGACCTCGCTGAAAAGCCAAGACTAACAACAACTGGAAAAATCAGAATACTCCAGCTTGACCGTCTACTAATTTTGTCGACATCCATCCACCGACCACCACCTAACAATGCATCCACCAAATTTACCCATACACAATTACTCATAATATTACTTACTGACGATCAGACGTTTACTGTACTGTACAGCTGTCCCGGATCATCCCAAGCAATTGCGTCTTCATGCATCCCTTTGACGTGTATCATGTATGGCTATGGTACCTTTATGTCGTACAACTTATACAGCGTCTACTCCGCGGACTTGGACCTTTCTGTGTTCCCACCGTTTTCATACAACACGGCACAGCCTACTCACGACAGCCAGCAATCCTCACGGTTCTGTTGAGTCCAGCCAGTGGGTTCAAAGGTAACGTAGTAAAACGTAATATAATGACATCCATCGTTAATGGATGGGCAGCTGCATCTGTAGAGTAATAGAAATACACACGCAACCCCGCCCTCGTTTCACAGGTTTCCATGGCCTATCCGCTAGAACAGATGCCCCAGATCTAGAAATTGCTTCTTTGACAGATTCGCCGAGATCCTCGTGACTATCACATACCCGAACACGTCGGGGGAAGCCAGAGATGCTATTCGACAATGGCGTCTGGACCCTTGATGAGTAAAATAAAATAAAAAAGCATACAGGAGCTGCAGCACCGTGACGGATAACGGCCAGTAAGGTCACAAGGACAATCTGACAATAGCAATTGAGGCAAAGTGCGCGAAGAAAAAGAACCTTTCTACCTTCCCTTTACCTTTTACGCCGCCTACAAAGATACCTTACCCTCGTTGCACCGCCGGTTTATTACCACCCCCGAAGGCTGACTGGTTGCAACTCAACGCCGCATTGCCGAATTCTTTCTTTTGTCAGCAAAATGGGACCAGCATGTATCAAACTTTGTAACCGCCATAGACGACAGATGAGAAAGGTCGTTGGGGAAAACGAGAATAATACGTAAAAAGAGAGGCAATTTCCTGCCGAGGACCGGCTTCTATTGCCGGTCTCCAGAATTCCTCGATCCCCTAGAAGGGTTCTTTTCAAGTAAACATTAGACTACCATTGCCCTCCTAGTGGGCGTCTCTTGTCTTTTTTTCTTCTTCTCTTTCGTTACCGGCACCCCGTTTCCTCCGGCACTAGTCGTAGCGCCGACTAGAACTTAAACACGCGAGGCCGAGACCGACACGGAGAACGACCCCGACTCCAGCCGCCGAGACAGGACAGGTCACGGGACGTCAATAGAGAGAACAACACCATCTCGCTAATAGCATCACTTTAACCTATGCCTCATGTTGGGAGGCCTTAAAACACCGGGAGACCTCCCCGAGTATCAAAGCACAGACATAGGCAATCTCTCATCCACGATCAATCAATCACCATATGATGTTGATATTGCATAGTACGACTCGCATCCTGGCAACGTGCGATTCAGTTCACAGCACGTGCCTCATAGTGTATATTCAACGAGATTAGATTGTTCACTTCACTTCTGCCCCGGAATCGTACGTACGTGTGTAATTAAGCTATATCGGCTGTTCTGCAAATGGCACGGGGTAGACACCGCCTCGCCTCATTAGTTCAAGACATGCGCCTCCAACCCCTGGATCCCGAGAACTACCTAGACTGCTGAATGCCAGACATCGTGATCAATCCGATGCCAGGTTGAAAAAGGGGGTTCACGACAGGTTTTGTTATGCAACACAATGTGTTACAGTTACTCCATCAGCTTGATAGATGAATCCGGAATTCGGCATCAACTATCGCCAACACTTTCCAGCTTCGTTTCTAAGTTTGATAAAAATTATATCATAATCATGATCTTATTCTCTTCCGATTAAGCGGCTCCGGTGCGCGGCCGGGAGTCTTACAAGCGCCGGTGTACCCGCACCCGCTCCCTGAGCCTATCACCGAGCAAGAAAGGGAAGCAACAGACAAAAAAAGGGAAACCAGAAGCATCGACCATTGAGAAGAAGAACATTCTTACCCCGGATTTTCCTCAACGTCATGACCTAAATTTGTCTCTTTCTTTCCTCCCCATCGCCCTTCCAACGCGTCACTTGACCTTCCATCTCTGCCACCTTGCGCCTTCCTCGGGCAGTGGACAGTCTTCCCGAACCTCCGGAAGCTGCAGCTCCGTGCCACAGTGATGGTTTCCTCAGTACCTAGCCATTACAGCTCAGGGGCTTCTACACCACTTCTCTTGTCTCTTTTCTCCTCTTACTTTCCTAGATTAGATTAGATTTCTTATGCCTTCCTTCCCATCTCAACAAGTTTGCAGATCCTAGCCCCTCGGCTACCGTCGTCAACTAAACCTAGAAAGAGCACTTGCAAGCCTCACACAACCACCAGAAGCAGACAAGGGAGCTCCTGCCGTTGGTCAACGTTTCCCCAACTTTCCACCCCTTGCAACCTTGGAGCGGCTCAAAATCAATTACCTAACACTTTGCCCTTAGCGGTCTGCATCGTGAACCTCGTGACGCTTGGCTTGACCACCCCTCGCTCGACCTTTGTCCCTTCTTGCTTCACTGTTGGCCTTGGCTGGGCTTGAGCTGGGGTGGTTCTAATCTTCCAATAGCCTACTAACCACCATCAGTTCGACCACCAATTTGACCACATCGTGACTCTCTCGTCCTCTCCGCTCCGGTCCTCTGCTCATTATTGTCTCTTCACTTCTCCTCTTCCGGTCATCACCAACACTAACACGCATCAAGCAAGTGCTTCTTCGACTGGTCAAATCCAACGGTATATTCATTCCGTCAATATGATGGATGAATTGGATGCTGATGCGAATGGCCACCCCTCAAATACTCCCCCGCGTTTTGCCCCTGGGCCAATTCAGGCCCATGCATGTTCGTTCGCATCTTGTGCATACAATACCTATCAACTACACCATCCATGTCGCTTTCTATAGAACACATAATGACCCTTGGGCGGGGACAACCGTCCCACTGTCCGCTATATCGTACTTGCTAATCGCTAGGCGAGAACTTCATAACATGAACTTGCACTCCAACACTCTACCAGATGAGAAACACAAAATACAAGACCGGGTGCTGTATGACCGCGTCTGCCACTCCCAGAAACAAAAGAAACGCCGTATGTGTGTGCCTTGTCGTATACATAAGCCCATTCTCTAGGCAATGCAATGCAGTGCAGTCCGGTGGATTTCATTCCGCCACCAATCGTCGATTAAATATGAGGCCATCGTGACTGGCCTGTGAGTCCTGTCACTGACAAGTCGCATGACCTTTCATCGGCCATTGGACTTTTTGCCGCCCATCTTTAGGCGTTCCTTGCAGTCTTCGCAAAACCATTTTGCTATATTCAGTTAGCTTTTTCAACTCTGGCCAGTTCAATTGCTCTTGCGATAACTCACCTTTCGATGTTGGCGCAACCTTGAGTCCAACACACTCCAGATGGAACCATTCGCGAGGACATTCATCCGCATCGCACGCTACCATTTCGCCGTAACTGACTCCGTTACAGTAACAGTAGGTCGGCTCATCTGCGTCAATGTCGGCGTCATCCTCGTCGCCTTGCATGCTGCTGTTCGTATCTTCGTCTGCCAGCTGAGCAACAGTGGCATGAATGGTAGGACCAGCTTTCTTTTGATTCTTCTTTCCTGTGCCAGCACCGTCGTTGTTTCTTGAAGAGCGCGATCGGGGGGGCGCTGCCTCTTGAAATGTTGATAATGCTGGTGTTGACGGTTTACTGGCTCGGCCGCTCTTCGTTGTGACAGTAGGTGTCGGGGCAGCTGGGGGTAACGATTCACTCTTACGATCATTCTCATCAGACTTCTTGGCATCTTTCTTGCTATTGGTCGTGATGGGAGCTGGAATTGCGTTGGTGATGATGTTGACAGTGGTAGCTGGCGGAGCAGAGGCAGATGCAGCTTCTGCTTTCTCAGTTTCCTTCTTGGGATTCTCGGTCTTGATCGACACAGTCGTTTCTTTGGGCGTTTTGGGCTCTGCAGTGGTACCGTTCCGAAGTGAGCTGTTTGGCGGAGGCCCAACATTTGGTGTATTCGCAGCGTTGCCATTGGGTTTACTGGAAGCTGGTGATGGCCGTGCCTTATTGTTCTCTGCATTTGTAGTTTGTATCGAGTTCTGTCGCGAACGGGTTGGTACTGGGTTCGGTGTGGGAACTGGTACTGGTGATGCGCGAACAGGAGGGAGCTTTGGCTCGGGGAGCTCAGTAATGACAGGCGATGAGTTGGCTGACGTGGACATGCCCGCCACGCCGTTCCTGCTACAAACCAACATGTTAGCATCTTGTCCTGGGAGTTTTCGAACCGATGTACACATACCTCTTCTTGGACTGGCCGCTACCTGAAGGCAGGGCTTTCCTTTTCTTGGGCGCCTCGGGCGCGGGAGTTGCTCGTGGGCTTGTTGTCTTTGCTTTCGGTGCAGTGTTGCCAAAGACCGCACTCATGGCGCGCTCTGCTGTCGCTGTAGCACCATTGGTTGGCTTTTCGACCTTACGTCGCTTCTGTGGCGGATTGCCGTTATTATTCGCAGCTGTAGAGATACCCAGGCCAACATTGGCGGTTTCTGCTGCTGCTGCGGTCGCCGCTGCTGTTGACTTCCTTGATTTTGTGGTCTTCTTTGCAGGCTCAGGTTTGTGCTTCCCATCATGATCGTCGCCCTCAGAGTCGTGGTTATGATTATTAGAATTATTATGATTGTTATTGTGGTTTCTCGAAGCCTTCTTTGCTTGCACGGCCTGCTTTCGGGCATCGCTTCTAGCGGCTGCCTCGTCAGCGAGGGCCTGTGCTGCGGCGGAGATGGCTGCGGCACCGTCGCGCCGTGTCCGATCGACATGGGATGCTTTTGAGAACCGATTTTCGGGATATGCCCAGTGTGTGGTGCTTCCCCATTTTGCCTCGTCGCTGAACTCGTTCTCCAGGTGTGGCCAGACATCTTCAATTCGAGTGAGCTGGGCTTCGAGTGCTTCATTCGCCGTGCCAATGACGTGGTTCTTCTCTTCGAGCGAAACTAGCATTTCTTGGATCTTAAGCGCGGTCTGTCGGAAAAGATGGCGGCGAGGCAGGTTGGATGGGTCGAAAACGAGGTCCCTGTGAGATTCATCGACCGAAGGCACACTCTGTGCACTGTTATTCAAGGCATTGCCCGTTGAGCTGTTTTGCGCGCTCATGGGCGCCGAGCCGGGAGCAATAGCGCTTGATGCTTCGTTGTTCGTACGTGCCTCGGAGGCGGGAGCATTTGTGGCAGCTTCGACGAGTCGGAAAAGCTGCTCTTCAGGAATGAAAAGCTTAGCATCAACTTCCTTCATGAGCGTGAAATGTCGAACGAGCTCTTTAGGCAGAGCGGTAATGGCATCGGCAAAGTGAGTAATCGCAGGGAAAATGTCGATGGGCTGGTCGGCACCACCGATCGAGTCTCTGCCGGCACCAGAGCGCCCCATGTTCGCAGTGCTTCGCGCAGGGTTCGTACGAGTCTGACGAACGGGCTGCGACCGACGGTGCGACGAGTTTTCTGTCGCGGGCGCCTTGGCCGACTTCATGGTGGAAGACGCGAAGGTGAGAGGATCGGGGCGATTCGGTCGATCAGCTCAAGAAAAAGACGGCGGGACGAAGCTGGCGGAAGTAAAGCAAGATTGAAAAGAGAAAGTATGAGTATGGGAGTCGGTAAGGCAAGTAACAGTTGAAATAGACCAGATATAAAACAAAGGGCTAGGTCATTTTGCGTTCTGAAGCCGTATGTGTTGAGAAATTTCAGTAAATACTGAGGAGGGGAGAAGAGAGAGACAGCACGCGTAGTAGAAGTAAGGTAAGGTAGCAGAAACGGAAGCGGGATGGGATGGGATGGCTGTTTTCCCATTCAGTTTTGGAGAATGACCTAGCCCAGCGCTGCGAGTAACCACTACAGCGCGCATGGGCGCTGTAACTCATCAGTCTACAGGGCTCAGGCGACTCACGAGGACCCGCAGGACCGGAGAAACCACCCCCCGATGACGGAGATTCTTCTTATCTGATAAGGGCGCATGCGTTTGCGATTGCGACCAAAAGTCAACATGACTTGTAAAGACGTTAAATAAAGGCTGCCTCCAGTTACCAGATAGAGTCTTCGTACAAGTCTTTTGTAAATCACTACGACCGCCATTAGTAGATGTCTCCTTATTATTGCAGGAAGCCAAGAAAGCACTATCGAATTGTTCTACACCGCGTGGGGCATTGCATGTAAATGACAATTTCGTCATAACCAAGCTCACATCACATACCTTTCCAGCCACGCATGGTTCCAAGGTAACATAAGCAGACCAATGACGAGTGATAGTAATAAATCATATATAACAGCGTGCTTCGCGACGCGACTTTGTAGCATACAGTACCTACGCTTAGGTTCAATAAATCGAACGGATCGGCTGTAGCTCTCATGTCTTTCTCATCATGACAGGCATTCAATGTTGCACTAGATACAGCGGCTCATGTCGAGGTCAACCTCACTTTCATTGGAACAAAACGAAAATACCATTATACTTGTCAAGTCTATCCCTTGTGGGAACGCATCGAAAGCAGATAACACCAAACAATCCTTAAATTCCAACATGTCCATTCTAGACAACACAACTGCTCAACAAAGACTCGGCACAATTTTCTAACAACCAGGGTATCAATGCAGCGAGCATTCAATTTCAAGCCGTAACGGAAGCAGGCCGGACTGGCGACTCGTCGCGGTCCTTCTGCTTCTGCCTCCACTGCCACTCCAACAAAATCCAGATGAAGTCCTTGAGATCAAAGTCGGGCCACAGGGTATCGATGAAGAAGATTTGTGTGTCCTGGTGGCACTGCCAGAGCATAAAGTCGCTGAGTCGTTCCACGCCGCTGGTTCGCACGAAAATGTCCAGTGGTGGGTCGTTTGCGGTGTACATATGCTTATCGAGAGTCTCGGCTGTGATAGTCTCGGGATTCGGTAAGCCTGAAATGCTGGTAACGCTCTTTCGTGCTCGCAGCTGAGGAGGGGGTGAATCTGGGTGCAGCGTGGTTGATGATGAGTCTTCGTCGCTGTCTTTCTTGAGGTCGCCGTCCTCCGAGGGCTCGGTCTCTTCGGCTACGGTATCGTGGATCGTGGGTAGACCCGCGTGGTCGTCCCGTTGACGAAGAAGAATCTTCTGGCGAATTCGCATCGGAGAGAAGGGTGTGGCTCGTGGAGGAGGGGGGGCGAGGAACTCTTGGACTGTTGACTTCACCGCATGTGTCATCTCGGCCCGTGATGTGTAAGGAAAGCAAATGTTCAATACAGCTCTGGACGTGGATTAGTTTTCATACCATAACATATGAAACAGTAAACGTACTTGTTGTTATGCCTCGTTCTCGCGACAGCTTTATCGACAACTTCGAGGACGTCGCTTCGGATCATCTCGCGCTCTCCCAAAACGCGCACCCGGGCACCGTAACTGTCCAGGTAATCGCCGTATCTGGTCAATGCCTCCAGTTTGACCTTGGCCAACTCCATCAGGCCCTCTACCTCATACTGGGGACGGTTGAAATTCTCGATACTGAAGGCATACACAGTCACGACCTTGACACCGGACTTGTAACATATCTCCATAATCTGGGGTTGAATGTTAGCACAGCGCGCATCTCCGCAACTCCATTGAACCTACCCTCGCCAATGCCTCGAATCCTCGGTGGTGGCCTTCGACAGTTTCCATTCTGTGGTTTCGGGCATATCGTCGGTTGCCGTCCATCTCGAATGACACATGCTGGGGAATTGGACCTTGTTTAAGGGCACCAACGAGGAGCTCGCGAAGCTGTCGCACAGCCCATTCTCCCGGAGGAGATTCGACGATTACTCTCCGGATGAATGATGATATCGCGTCGGCCATTTTGGAGCGTAAGTGTTATTGTCGATGTTAAGATGTATAAGAAAATCGAGAAGAAGAAAAAAGTAAAATGCTGGGACGAAAGAGTGAACGTGTTATCGTCGAGTGGGTGCAATATCGCTAACTTAGTACAATCGGACAGATAGGTTTTGAAACAGATAAGGAAAAAAGTTGAGCGATGAACCAAAGTAAAAGTGTGTTTTAGATTCGTCGAATGTATGAAATAATGTTTAATTGATTGAAACAACAGCAAGTGATCGTCAGAAGGCGAGTGGATGGTTCAACGAAGGTGACGACAAATTGACAAGCCAGCCACGAAGCCTATGGTGGCGGAGTAGGCATCTGACGATTGGGGATGAGGCTTGTTGAGGCGAGCTACTGTACTTGGTTAAAGACGGTTGGCAGAAGCTTGGCGTGTTGAAGCAAGGCAGCGCAGCGCAGCTCAGCTCAGCTTTTTTCTTTCTTTGGTGTGGCCTGTTCCTGTTCCTGTTGGCGTTGGCGTAAGGTTGGCTGCAAGGAAATTGGAATGCGGGAGCTTTTGAAGGGACCGCCGCAAGGATGGTCCTAGTCCAATAATGATGGGCTTGCTCAGCACGACACGACACCAGTGGCTTAACGTTGTTTCTTCAGGAGCAGCCACAAGTTGTTCATAGCGCTCCAACACTTCACCTATATTATTATCAATTGGACTGTGGTGTGATATTTATTAGGACTCGGACATGTCGGAAAGTGTTAGGTACTGTACCAAAATATCATGAGATCGTGTTAGTGGATTCTCTAACCCTGGTCAACCGGAAATCAAAGACCACGGTTCTCCTGAACTTGAGACTTTCATGTGATAGCGATTTCTCGCAGGGCTGAGAGGTCCAACTTACGTAGGGTAGCCACTCTGAAATTCGCAGGGAGTTTGTTGCAGACTTCAACCCTGACAGCGGAAGGGGCTGAATTCGTGGCTTTCGAGTCGCTGTAGAATGCCGTATATGATCACCACAGTTCCGTCTATTGGTTAACTCAGAATTCACTGGCGAGGGCGTTCGTCTCTGCCCACTTTATTGGCTCTTTTGACAAGCTACAGCTTTTCCATGCGTGAGCAAAACTGAAGAAAACGGCATGATGCGGCGCTGTAGTAAAAGTCTGCAGGGTAAGCGGTTTGGAAATGGACTCACGTCGGGCAGCTCCAGTAGTCTTTCGTATCATCTGCCCTGCAACTCTATCTGCAGGACTGAATTATGATTGACGCTGTAGTATACAACCAACTCTATCTAATGGCTGTGCAGCCATCATGTTATCGTGCTATCTCTGGACCACAGTCAAAGCTATGATTCTATTTCAATGTGATAAACGCTAGCTAGAATTACGAAGTAATCGAGCAACGGAGGAGATATCGTGGCATCTCAATGTGCAAGAAATAAACAGATCAAAAGGAGATGAGATTCTAGTTGAAGGATTCACTTCTCATACTCAGCGATCAAGCTTTTTATTACCCCGAGGGGATGCTTGCATAACCTCCAACATCCCCAGCCTACCAGCGAGTAACAACAAATGCATGGAGCACCAGTTTGTTGGAGAAGACATGGGTAAGACAAGACACTTCCCCAGCATTCGATCCAGTGCTGCAATGGCATCCCGCATTGGGTAGTCCGAAAAATGTTGATTTCGTTATCTGCCGCCAATTGATATCTATCTCTTGTTTTTTTGAGCGACTAACTCTGCCTACTTACCTAGAAAGCAACATTGGATAGGTTGCTTAAAATAGGACGGGTCATATTTCCTAGGTCTAGTTATGAGACGGCATGGTCCATGGTCCAGAACCTTGATTCATAACCCATGTCGAGCTTTTTTCTTCTTCTTTGCTCCGTCTTCAACCAAAAGACGTCATTGCTTGTCCACTGAGAAAAAATCACTAGGGAAAGCTTTTTAGCGCAGTAAATTAGGAACTACCCAGCGCCACAACGCCTAGGCCATGGTTCACCGGTATGCAGTTCCTGTCTCTGTAGTGAAGGCTTCATGACTCTTGTTGTAAGTGATGTTATGTGTGACATGACAACAATGATATGATTACTTCTACATTCCCACGGAGAGTTCCTCCGGTTGGTGTAGCACTTCCCCCGGTAAGAGAAGGCCTTAATTCTCCTATCGGATCTCCAGGCTCGCCGAGGGGACGCCGATGATGGTGTTCATGGTGGAGTTAAAGAGCCATGTCCATGGCTACTAGCAGCGGCCTGTTCGATGTCACTCTAGAGCAAGAATTGCTAGGTGCAGCACCCATTCACAGACAAACATCCGTCTCCCGTCCAGGAGACAGCAGACAGCGGAGGAGATGCAGCGGCCGCTGGTGCAATCGGTTGGTTGACGATCCCCGTTGAACTCGCTAGCAACCATGTGCTGTACTATCTGTTTAGGTGAAAACCAGGAACATGAAGAAAGGGAAGCCACGCATCTGCCTGCCTACCTATTCCAAAGACGGGACAGAGCAACAGCTAGTCTCAAGCCTCAGGCACAACCGAGACTGTCAATTCTTTGATCCTACCCACCATCGTCGATCCCGCGTATCCTGTCTCGCCCTTTTGGTTAGATACGGTACAGTCCTGTCTGTAACTTACCTGGGTGCATTGCAGTGCAGGAGACTACTACTTTTTCTTCTCGCCTGCTTCACCTTCTTTTCTCTTCCTCCTCTTCTCTTCCTATCCTATCCTCTCGCCAGAGGAAGCATCACCTAAAACCTCAAGCTTCTGGTCATTGTTGTCCATCTTTTTTAAACTTCTGTTATTCTTCCCCTCTCCGCTTCCCCACACGCTCCAATTGACCTCATCATCCCCCACCAGAGCAACCGTTGCTACCCCTCGCTCGACGATCGTCGCCCGTGCTTCGCTTGCCGCCCCTCGTTGAGCTTACTTGAGCTTCAGCCATGGTTGTTCACGACGGTCACGAATACCTCACTGAGGAAGAGAGGCGCCTCAAGGAGGACCGCGATCGCACCAAGTACTGGAAGAAATGGGGTCCTTACGTTGCTGAGAGACAATGGGCTACAGGCATGTGATTTTTGTTGTGGTTTACCGGAACCACTCATGATAAGGCAATTGCTAACCAAAATACAGTTCGAGAGGATTACAGTCATGATGGAGACGCTTGGAGTCGTGAGTTTATCATTTTTTAATGACGCATCTTGTCCTGCGCGTACTAATAAGTTACGTCAGACTTCCCTCACGAACACGCTCGATCGCGCGCATTCCGTTGGGGTGAGGACGGTATCGCCGGTGTCTGTGATACTCATGGTTACCAAAACATTGGCTTCAGCTTCTGGAATGAGGAAGAGTTCGTATAAGTGCCATAGTTGACCATGCGCCATGACCGCTAACATCATACAGCGAGTTCCTCAAGGAGCGTCTTTTCGGTCTCTCAAATCCCCAGGGTAACCATGGTGAAAGTGTCAAGGAAGCCCACTTCCACGTCGATAATACACCAGTCAGTAAAACTCAAAGAAAACTCAATTGACTTGTGCTAACCTATCGTTTTTAGACTGTAAATTACCCTTGCGACCCAAACTTGTTCTATGCTAATGATCATAATAGCACTCTTACATGAAATTCCTCTACAAATACCCACAGAAGAAGTTCCCTTACAAAGATCTCATCGACGAGAACGCTCGACGAGGAAAGGAAGACAAGGAATACCAAATCACCGACACCGACGTCTTTGACGAAGACAGATACTGGGACATCTTCATTGAGACCGCAAAAGAGAGCGATGACCCCGATGAGATACTCTTCCGAGTCACTGCTTGGAATCGAGGCCCTGACCCTGCGCCTCTCCACATTATTCCCCAGGTGTGGTTCCGCAACACCTGGAGCTGGGGTAGAGAGCCCGAAGACAAGAAACCTTCGATAAAATATGCCGATGAGACTGTCGCCAAGTCTAACCACTGGAGCTTGGGAGAGCGACACTTCTTGTGCTCACCTTCGCCTGGTGTAGGCTCTAGCGGCGACGATGTGATGCCCAAATTCATGTTCACCGAGAATGAAACCAACTTCAAGGCCCTGTACGACCAAGAGAACAAACAGCCATACGTCAAGGATGCCTTCCACCGCTACATTGTTGACGGAGAGAAAGACGCAATTAACCCTGCTCAGACCGGTACAAAATGCGCTGCCTGGTTCAACTTTAACGAGGATGGTGGTGTCAACCCTGGCGAATGTGCCGGTTAGTATTTAAACGCCGAAGCCTTCTAACACGCTTGCTAATTGATGATCCAGTTGTACGATTCCGTTTCACCAGGCGAGACGACGGCTACCTCGATGAAGAAGACTTCGATGATGTTATTGAGAGCCGCAAGGAGGAGGCGGACGAGTTCTACTACAGACTCAGCCCCCTTCCTATGGCTGACGATTTGCGCAATATTCAGCGACAAGCTTTCTCTGGTATGATGTGGACAAAGCAACACTATCACTTCATTTGGGACCACTGGGCGAACGGTGATCCTACCATGCCGCCTCCCCCGGCCTCTCGGAAGGACATTCGAAATTCGGCTTGGAAACACATGCACTGTGATGATATTCTATCCATGCCTGACTCATGGGAGTATCCTTTCTTTGCCGCTTGGGATAGTGCCTTCCACTGCATCCCGTTGGCCATGATTGACCCAGACTTCGCGAAGAAGCAGCTCGACTTGTTCACTCGAGAGTGGTACTGTCACCCCAACGGACAGCTCCCAGCGTAAGTTCGCTCGTCTTTGATTGTCAGATTCCGATGATTAATGTGTTTGCAGATATGAGTGGAACTTCGGAGACGTGAACCCCCCAGTTCATGCCTGGGCCACATTCAGAACATTCAAGATTGAGCGCAAGATGTATGGTCGCCAGGACATAGACTTCTTGGAGCGCGTTTTTCAAAAGCTGCTTCTTAACTTCACCTGGTGGGTCAACCGCAAGGATGCCGATGGCAAGAACGTCTTCGAGGGAGGCTTCTTGGGTCTCGACAACATCGGCTTGTTCAACCGTTCCGAG